GGGAAGAAGGAAGAGACAAAGGAAGAGGAAGAGGAGACTAAGGAGAAGCAAACAGCCATCCTGCTGCCATTTCCCAAGCACTCCCTATGTGGTGCCGGGCAACACTATTTTCCAGGCATTGAATTGTTCAATCCTTAGATCTGTGAAGGAGAACCTATTACTGTCCTCATATGACAGATAAGGAAACTATAATCAGGAACTTTTTTCCCGAGGTTATTCAGCCAGTGACTGGCAGACACAATACCTGAAAGCTAACTCCAAATTCCAGATTGACACCTCCCTCCATCCACTGCTTCCTTGTCTTCATGTGAGTGGGAGCTGCTGGAGTGAGGCCTCTGTGGAACCATGTGCTTGCAGGAGTGAGGCCTCTGTGGAACCGTGTGCTTGCAGGAGTGAGGCCTCTGTGGAACCGTGTGCTTGCAGGAGCGAGGCCCCTGTGGAACCGTGTGCTTGCAGGAGCGAGGCCCCTGTGGAACCGTGTGCTTGCAGGAGCGAGGCCCCTGTGGAACAGTGTGCTTGCAGGAGCGAGGCCCCTGTGGAACCGTGTGCTTGCAGGAGCGAGGCCCCTGGCTCACCAGCAGGAACAGACCTCAGTCACAGTTTGGAGGACAGCTCATGGGGCTCACACAACCCAGAAAGCTCTCTGCTTGCCTGGTCTGCACAGTGGTAATATTTATGGAGTTGTTTCCTATGTGCTAGGCTTCTTAAACATCATTATTACTTCAATTTACAGAGGCAGAAATGGAGACTCAGAGAGGTTAAGCAACTTGCCTGAGGCCACAGAGCTAGGACGCAGAGAGTCAAACCAGCTCTGAGCATCTCATCATCACCACCACCACTACCATCATCACCATCACCCTGACCACACTTGGTTTTTTTTTGAGACAGTCTCACTATGTCACACTCAGTAGGGTGCCAAGGCATCATAACTCATAGCAATCTCAGATTGCTGGGCTTAAGCAATTCTCTTGCCTCAGCCTCCCAGGTAGCTGGGACTACAAGTGCCTGCCACAACACCCGGCTATTTTTTTGTTGCAGTTGGTCCTAGCCGGGTTCGAACCTGCCAGCCTTGGTGAATGTGGCTGGCACTATAACCACTGTGCTATGGACGCCAAGCCCACTCCACACTTTTGTTAGAGCTTCCAGTGCTGGAAGATCAAGGTCAGTGGAGGGAAGGGCTAGAGCAGGGGTCCTCAAACTTTTTAAACAGGGGGCCAGTTCACTGTCCCTCAGACTGTTGGAGGGCCGGACTGCAGGCCCCAGGATGAGTCGGCTGCTAAACAGGACAGGCAGCCGTGGCAAAAACACCTGGTGGGCCAGATAAATGTCCTAGGTGGGCCGCGTGTGGCCTGTGGGCCATAGTTTGAGGATGCCTGGGCTAAAGTCTGGAAGTTGGGAGCCCAGCCCAGGTACCGCAGAATCCTGAGCTCAAAGAGGGTAGGCTAGAAAAACAGAAGACAGATGTCAACTTAATCTCTACCCCTCAAAAGCAAAACCTCTATTCCACTTCCAGTTGGTGCCCTCTCAGTATCTCATGCCCGCTACCCATCCACACACAGGACTGAGCAGGAGAGTCTGCATGAAGTGTGTGGGACTTGCAGTCATCAGAAGACAAACATACCAACCACCACCTAGCATGAGTTAGTAGCCTACTTACGCTCAGTTAGCTCCTCCTACATGTAAAGTGGGGTCAAAGTGCATGCCCTGCCAGGACAGCAGAGCATTAAGAGGATCAAAGGAGGGTGGCACCTGTGGCTCAGTGAGTAGAGTGCCGGCCCCATATACCAAGGGTGGTGGGTTCGAACCCAGCCCTGGCCAAACTGCAACAAAAAAATAGCCAGGTGTTGTGATAGGCACCTGTAGTCCCAGCTACATGGGAGGGTAAGACAAGAGAATCACCTAAGCCCAAGCGCTAGAGGTTTCTGTGAGCTGTGATGCCACGGCACTCTACTGAGGGTAACAAAGTGAGACTCTGTCTCTAAAAAAAAAAGAAAGAAAAACGGGGCAGCACCTGTGGCTCA